CCGCAGCCGCGCCGAGTCCCAGGCAGCCCGCCCGCCTTTTCCTCGGGATCAAAGACAAGCTCTGTACTTGGTGAGTGCAAAGGGCGCGCGGACTTGCCACGCGCTTCTGCCCTGCCGCGACCTGGAGGAGCCCGGCGGAGACACGTGTGATCAGCGCCTGGGTGAGCCGGGGCTCCCTGCCTGAAGGGATGCGCTAACCGCCCCCTAGCGCGGCTACTAGCGCCCCAGGCAGAGCGGCTCCCGCACGTGTGGGCCTAGTGGGGGCGTTTACACGTGCTTCTTGGGAAACCCCATCAGCACCCGGGGCCACAGCGCCTCCGCTCCGGGACCGCATGGGAGGTGGAGGAGGAGTCCGCGGAAACCAGTTCCCGGCTCTGCCGCTGAGCTGGTGCGTGCTTTGTAGGCAGCTCCTTGAATCGTACCGGGGATAAAAACACCTCCCCGCCCCTCCGCTCCCCGGGGGACTTAGGGGTATTGCAAAACGCTCGGAGCGCCTCGGGGGAATCGCTACAGAAGAGCACGGGGTTCCGGCGCCTCCTAGCTCCACAGAGAACGTGCCCCTTTCCCTCATCTACCAGCCACTTTATGGGGCGCCGAACTGGAGTTGCCACCCGCTGGCGCAGGATGATTGTGTTTGGGCGCAGCGTCCGCCCGTTCCCTTCGCGACAAAATAGCCCCAGCCGCCGGGTGCAGCCGGACGTCGGGCTGGCATGTAGGTGATATTCTGCAGGTTTGGCAGCTGAACTGGGGGGGGGGAACCCTAATGGCTCATGGACAGTTTATGGGACTACCCTGAAGAAATCTGTACCAGGGGGCTGAGTGCTTGAGGGGCAACCCTTGATGGAGCCCCTTTGATTCCACCAGTCATTCTTATTTGGTATCTCTGTAAGGGAGTGCTGTACATTTTTGGAGGAAAAGAGGGGCAGGGAAGAGCTAGTAACCTGAGTAGGGAAGAAACTCACTTTGTCTGCCTTGGCTGAACCCTCTCCCCATTTGCATTACAGTAATTCCTCACTTAACACGTGCCTGCTTAACACGTTTTCACACTAGCACGATTTTTTAGGGAACATTTTTCAAACAATAGGAACTCCTCCCTGCAATAACATGATTTCCCCTAGGGTAGGGGGCTTGCAGCTGGCGGCTGGGTTTCCCCAGCTGGCAGGGCACCAGCAGCTGCATGAGGCTTCCCCTTCCTCCCTGCAAAGCAGCAGAGGTTTGCCGCTCGCAGCGCCATTCCCTGGTGACCTCCTCTGGCCAGATGCCTTGCATCTGGCCAGAGGGGGTCACCAGGGAACAGCACGGCAAGTGGCAAACCTCCAAACCTCCACTGCTTTGTAAGGAGGCAGAGGAAGCCCCGCGCAGCTGCAAGCCCCCTCCCCTATCCTACCCTTCCCTTCTCCAAAGCCAAACACCTCCCCTCCCTGCTATAACCCAGTCCCTTTTCTCCCCCAACCTTATGTCCCGGTCCCAGCTGCTAACAAGTGCAGGCAGGAGCTGTGAGCACAGGGGCGCTTGAAATGCAACCCCCACCTTTTCCATTATTTTCAATAGGAAAATTGACCCCACATAACACGTTTTCACTTAGCACGATCATTTTCTGAAACGTATCTACTGTATCTACCGTGTTAAATGTGGAATTACTGTACTGGTAAAACGCCCATTGAGTTTAGTAGGCGCAGAATTTCAGGCTTTGTGTCTTGTGGATAAACTGGGGGAAGGGAAGCATGATGTAATCTCCCATCCATCTTTCTGCCTTTTAAAAACCTGCAGCAGTGATGTCTAGGTATGATGTAGTCACATAAGCCTTAAATGAAGCATGATCACAAAAGGCTGCTTCTAACTCTCCCTGTGTGACCTTGACCCTAAATAAGCAGAATGTGTGGGCCCTGATCCAGCAGAGCCCGTTTATCTTTAACCATGACAGTAGTCCCACTGAAAAGGTACTCATAGGCGTTCATGTAAGCAAGTGCTGAAGGCTCCTAAATCAGAGTGACATTGCAATGCTGAGCAGAGAAAAGCTTAAATACCTTCTACAAATTTGAGTGTAAGACAGTGGTACTTAATTATGTGACTCGGGAGCAGTGTTCCCTCTAACATTTTCTATCCTTGGTTGGGTTGAATTTTCTTTTCGTCGGGTTGAAATTTCTTATGTGCAACACCAATATCGAGGTAGTGTGTAGATATGCACGAGTACAAACAAAACACATAGATACAAATATAAATTTTAGACCGGGGTGGGCAGCAATTTTTGAAGGGGAACCACTCCACAAATTTCTGAAGTGGCCCCGAGCTGCCCCGAAAGGGGCAGGTCCTTGGGCAGAAGGGGTGGGGCCAGGATACTTCCCATGCTCCCTGTCCATAGACCCTGATTGGCCTGGGGATGGGGGAGCACGTGAAGTCTTTGCCTGGCCCCCTCCTCCAGCACACAGAGAGAACCGCCAGCTGTTTAAAACAGCTTGCGGTTCCCTCTAGGCACTGTGTGGCCCTAGTGGGGCTTCTCTCACACACTCCACCCGCAGGCCAGTCAGGGTTTGGGGGAGTGGGAGCATGCAAAGTCTCTTGCCCCCTGCCTCCACTCTGCAAGGGGCACACGGTGGCTAGAGCAAACTGTTAGCTATTCTGAACAGCTGGCAGTTCCCTCTGATGCTGCATGCTGCTAGTGAGGGGAGGAGACTTCATTTGCTCCTTTATCCCCAGGTCTCGATTAGCCTGAAGGCAGGGGAGCAGCAAGGCGGCCGCGGGCTGGATCAACAAGCTTGGCAGGCCAGATCTAGCCCACAGAGGCTCTCTTGACCACCCCTGTTTTAGACAGTCCATAGGTGTGAAAGAAAGTATATTAAAACAAGGGATAATTAACAAGGAGCAATGCTTACAATGTTTATTTAATATGAAATCAAATACAAATAAAATTAACATTACCCTTGGAGTACATGTATTATCCTTTCTAACAACTCAAGCTGGTAAACACACGAAAATGCAAATTAGCCACACACAGCTGAGCTTTAAGATGCTAAACAAATCTATAAATTAACTAGAAATAGTCATGCTTTCCTTGCAAATATTAATACAATATTTACTGACACTAGAAAGCAGAATAACAGGAATTAACTCAGGCTTATACAGTTTTATCTAGGGAATGTTTAGGATCCATGCTGTTCAACAAGGGTGGGCAAGATACCTCTTGCAGGCTGGATCTGGCCTGCCAAGCCACCGGATCCAGGCTGGATCTGGCCTGCCAAGCCACCAGATCTGGCCCACGGACCCCCATGCCAGGACCCTCCAGCCCACAGCAGACGCTGTTTTAAGTGCAGGGCTGCTCCGTGTGCCCCTCTGTTCTGAAGAGAGGGGAGGCTTCATGTGATCTCCCCACCCCTAGCCCATACCTCAACTCCTTTTGAGGAAACAATTGGCCAATATGAACTGACCCCAGACAATCTTTCGGCTTCTGTTGACCAGAAACCATCAGTCAGTAGAAGCTGAGAGACTGGCCTGGGGGATAGGGGCAGCACAAGCCTCTCCCCGCTCCTGGAGCGGAGGGCCACAAAGAGGGAGCAGCTTGCATTTTCAAGCAGTCTGGGGCTGCAGAAGCAGCGAGCCCAGTCTGCCTGGGTATTCTGCAGGGCTACTGGCCAAGAGGGGCTTAGGTAAATGCCTCCAAACCAGAGCCTGCCTATGGCACCCCTGCCCCTCCCCCAGGTCACCATCCAAACTCTCTGCACCCTCCTGTCCCAGGTCACAACTCCCTTCGAGTCCCAGGTCACAACTCCCTCCGAAACCCTGTACCCAGGGAGCGAGCCCAGTCTGCCTGGGTATTCTGCAGGGCTACTGGCCAAGAGGGGCTTAGGTAAATGCCTCCAAACCAGAGCCTGCCTATGGCACCCCTGCCCCTCCCCCAGGTCACCATCCAAACTCTCTGCACCCTCCTGTCCCAGGTCACAACTCCCTTCGAGTCCCAGGTCACAACTCCCTCCGAAACCCTGTACCCAGGGTTGGACTGACGCATGGGCGAGCCGGGCAGTTGCCCAGGGCGCCAACCATGGGGGGGTATCTGATGGCAGCTGTAAGGTACACATGGTGTCCTTTACAGCTGCCATCAGGCGCCGCACCTCCCAGCTGCCATCAGGAGCTGCATGCCCAGCTCCCGCAGCACTGGCCCTGTGGCGCCGGACAGCAGCGCTCTGGCCCCCACGGCTGTGGGGCCCTGCACGGCCCGGCGCGTGCACCAGCAGCAATAGCCAGGCCGGGCCGGGCAGCGCATGTGCCGTGCACCCTGGGGGCGGGCTCCGGGCTGTGCGCCAGCGGCCGTGGTCATGCCGTGCATGCGCAGTGTGCCCGGGGGCGGCGCCATGCGCCTGTGCCCAGGGCGCCAGAATGCCTCGGGTCGGCCCTAGATATGAAACCATGTTCTTAAGTTTCAGTGGGGAATGTCTAAGTTGACTATTTAGAAAACTATTTCATTAGGAGGGTGGAATCGGGTACCTAAGGAGATGGTGTGGGTCCGGGACACCAAAAGGGTTCGGGCCAGTCCTGCCTGTACCCCTTCCAGGCCAGAATCCTCTCCTGTAGCTATACTCCTTCCCTGACCATATACCCCAATCCCCTGACCCAGGTCGCAATCTCGTCCCTCACCCAAACTCCCTCTCAAACCTCACACTGTCTTCTGCACCCCAGTTTCTTACCCTGTGCACCCATCTGTACCCAACTTCCATCCTAGACTCCACACCCCTCCACAGAAATTCCGACCCTTGACCACTTTCCAAAATCTTGGAGTGGCGCCCTACCAAATATTAGTGCCTATCATTGCTATACAAGAACAAGTGAAACAGAGACAGTAAAAACAGATAAGAGTTCTCCTGGTTTGAAACATTCACCTTATGTATGTCACCAACTCAAAGAACAGAAGTCCCAGAGCAACACATGGCCTCAAAGTTTGTAGACAAATGCATGTTTCAAAGAGCTTGCAAATAAGGTTTCGTCCTGCAAAACAACTAGCATCACACCTAATACTTGCTACTTCTGACTCAAGAAGACTTAAGAGCTGTCATCAATACAATATACCATGTATTAATT